TTTTATATTTATGTATGTGTAGTGAATGTGCAAATAGAATCATTGCAGAGAGATTTGATGAGAGCCAAAGATAGGACGTCATCTTTGGAAGGACAGAGGATAGTAAAGATGCAGTCGCTGGTTGACTGTGAGGTCAAACAAAAAATGATTGAAATAAAGAAAGAAACACTCGACGAGAAGAATAAAGAACTGGAATCAGAAATTGAGGGTTTAGAAAATGAATTGGTAAAAATTAATACTGTTTATATATCATTATTTATTTAATTTTATAGGATAAACTGACTAAAATTATTGAGAAAGAAAAGTAATAGAGTGTATGCCGTTTTTAAAATTGTTTTCTTCCTTCAATTGTAGAGATGATTTTCAAGCAGAATTGAGTGAATTCAATAGTAATTATGATCTGAAGGGGTCCGGGATTAAGTATCAAGAGCTCCAGACCCAGAAGCAGGTAAAACTTCTACAAGAAGAGACTAGACTCTTAGAAGAAAGTAAGTTTAATTTCTTGTAACATTTCTGTATATTTTACAACTGATTTAAAAGAATGCTTCCAGCTGGAGTCTAGAAAAGAGGAGCTGCTGAAAGCTGAGAAGAAATTAATTGAAGAAGAAAAGCCATTACAGATACTCCTAAGAACAATGGCCAGTAAGATAATAATTACATACACTAACATACCCTTATGTACATGTGTGTCATTAATTAGTACCTAAACTGGCATCATTGGCCTCAATAAAATGGTCAAACAAGCGTAACAGGGTAAAAAATATTCCTATGATTGATTTCACCACCTTGCAAGTACAGCTGGATTTTTATTAAGACTTATAGAGGCTCTCTCTACCTTTTTATGCATCTAGAGAAGTCTTTAGACAGTATCTCTATGCTCTCTTGCTGTTAGAAAGCTCTTAACTTTGTCCTATGTGTAACCCGCCATTTTGTTGGCCGTGACCACACCCACCACATAAAGGAGCACGGCAGCGCACATGCATGGGCGGGTGGTTGCTAAGGCTTGTTATTTCTCCAATACAACATGTATAGAAGAAATGTAAGTGTGGACATACAAATAAATAAATATACAGTAATTTGCCTTTTTTGAATTTTTTCGTACAAGAATTTTTCGTTTCAACAAAATTCAAGTGGAAATATTTTCGTCTTTTCATAGTATACGAAAATTTTTATAGTATGAAAATTTAGCTTCTCTTACATATACCTTGTCCTTTACATACTGGTAACAAGGCCACTATAGTAGTATTTACAGTTCTTGAGATATGAGCTTCTTGACCTGGCTGTTTCCAAGGATCAAGAGTTGGAGATGTGGAGTTTGGGGTAGAACCTTCCCCCACCCCTCCCAGTAGATAAAACCCTGGAGAGTGTCTGTTAAGAGAGGTTATACTGTATATAATACAAATTCACATAATTGTGCACTTACATGTAACTTTAAGTTATTGTTATGC